ACAGGTTCATGTCAAGTCGGCAGGCCATGAGCCCCAGGCACGCCCAACCACTGAGTTTTGGAGGACTGAGTGGCTGCAGGGGATGTGCTCCCCAGCCCAGCCGGAGCAGCTGGGTGAGCGGGGCGTGGCCTGGTGGCAAGGGAGGTGGTCTCAAGGCAGGAGGGCAACGAAGTGACCAGACACCCCCACATGTGAAGCCCGCGTGCTTATAACAAGTGGCGGTAAAATAGTGGAAGGAAGACGGGTGAAGGGCGATCGTGAACATGATATATATATATATTTTTTTTTGTTGTGAGTGCGTGAGTGAGTGAGTGAGGGAGGGAGGGAGGGAGTGAGTGAGTGAGTGAGCGAGCGAGGGAGTGAGGGAGTGAGCGAGCGAGGGAGTGAGGGAGTGAGGGAGTGACGGAGTGACGGAGTGACGGAGTGAGCGAGCGAGCGAGCGAGCGAGCGAGCGAGCGAGTGAGTGAGTGAGTGAGCGAGTGAGTGAGCGAGTGAGTGAGCGAGTGAGTGGGTGAGTGAGTGGGTGAGTGGGTGACTGAGTGATTGAGTGACTGAGTGCAGGCGTGCAGGCGGGCGGGCGGGCGGCGGGCGTGATTTGGTCAGTGCATTCAGTTGGTGTGAGGTCAGTTTTAGTGGTTAGTGTTGGTGAGAGTTGCGCGGGTGTGAGATGAGTCTGTGTGAGATGTAATGGCGTGAGGTGAGTTGGCTTGAGGCACGATGGCGCGAGAAGTGGGGCGAGAAGCGGGTGTGGGATGAGTCGGTGTGAGATGAGCCGGTGTGAGTTGAGTGGGCTGGTGTGAGATGAGCGGGGTGAGTTGAGTGGGCCGCTGTGAGATGAGCTGGGGTAAGTTGAGTGGGCTGGTGTGAGATCAGCTGGGGTGAGTTGAGTGGGCCGGTGTGAGATGAGTGGGGGTGAGTTGGGTGGGCTACTGTGAAATGAGATGGGGTGAGTTGAGTGGGCTGCTGTGAGATGAGCTGGGGTGAGTTGAGTGGGATGAGCTGGGGTGAGTTGACTCGGCTGGTGTAAGATGAGCTGGGGTGAGTTGAGCGGGCTGTTGTGAGATGAACTACGACGCCTCCACTGAAAAATTAATTGGAGGGGGTGACCCACGAATTATTTTCTCAATTAGCATTTTTCGACATTTTTTCGTCAATTTTATCGAGAATCTTAAGTCGGGTAAAAAAAATTACTTGGCATCTTCCCGGTCTACCTTGGATGAAGCAATAGTCATGTCTACTGGAGAAACAATCAAGAGGTGGTGGAGAGGTCGCACACCCCTCAATTAATTATCACAGAGGGGTCGGGGTGAGAGAGAGAGAGAGGAACCAAAGCAACTAAGGATGTCGATGCGAGTTTCAGAATATTCAAGGTCTCACTATTAGTCTACTTCATGAGTTTGAACCAGGTTCAGAACAAGCGCACGCCAAGAGCTTCTGAAAAGAACCAAGCCAACAAAATATGTGATCAAAAAGGCTGTCCACAAGGCTGTGCTTGCAGTGAAGGCAGCCAAAAAAAGCTGAAGCTTTGCCATCGACTTCATCGTCCTCCGCCGATGCGCCTGTAACTGGACAGCAGACTTTTCATCGACCATATGATCCAGGACCACTTACACAAGCGGATGTTCCAGGTGTGCAGTGTCCTACAAGAGTGTCCCACAAGAGTTTCCTACAAGAGTGTCTGTCCCACAAGAGTGTCCTATAAGAGTGTCCCACAAGAGTTTCCTACAAGAGTGTTCCACAAGAGTGCCCCACAAAAGTATCCGTCCTACAAGAGTATCCTGTAAGAGTGTCCCACAAGAGTGTCCTACAAGAGTGTCCTACAAGAGTGACCCACAAGAGTGTCCTACAAGAGTGTGAGTGTCCCGTAAGAGTGTCCCACAAGAGTGTCCCACAGAGTGTCCTACAAGAGTGTCCCGTAAGAGTGTCCCACAAGAGTGTCCCATAAGAGTGTCCCGTAAGA